AGTATTATAGAGCTATATGGTGCTTAAAATGTCAGCTGCTGTATCAGATCCCTGTCTGTGCTAGGGCTTCCACCACTGGAATTGAATTGGTGCTAGTAATGTATTCCCCCTCCGCCCCCACCCCACAAAAAAGTAAGAAGTGGCTGACAGCAACTGGACCAAATTTACTCTGTTTTATCCTACTATGAATATCTCTGAGGTGACAGAAGTCAGAAGTTGACTATCTCTAGTAAAAGAAGCTATATTGATTGACAAGTGACAGAACTCACCTGGAGATGGCCAGGAAGATGAAATAACTACATGTAATTATACAGAAGTTTTCTCATGTCAAAGTAAACAGTGTTGTACTTGATCAAATTCCAGAAGTTAAAATCTGAACTAATACAACTGTAGAAGTATGCTACTGGGATTTACTGTCTTTTTTTTTAAATAGAGTATCAGTAAGTATTGGCAACTCACTAATATCAGAAAAATTTCCTAAAACCTTGCAGTTTCCACTTCAGGAATTCCTACTTGCAGAAGGATCAGCTCTATAAAGCCATATGCAAAAGCCCCAATTCTTCCTGAACAGGGTGGGTGGGTGTGTGTGGCAGGGGGTGGTCCTGCCCTAGGAAGACCAGCTGGCCGGATAGGTCCCATTCATTACATACCAGGCAAAAATGAAGATATTTTGAGAAATGGAGGAAAAAACTCCCATAATATACTGAATCAGCTGTAAACTCTGTGTTAAAATTAAAGCAGACAACCTTTGCCACCCTTTTTTTTAGTTATCATGCAACTTATTCTTCAAGAGGCTGAATGTTTTCTGTGTCATGTCCAGCACGCAGACATTTTTGCACTTTAGAGCTATAAGGAATTTGACTAGGAAACTTACTGTAGTTAATGACATTTGAATCTTTACACAAGATAGTCACAACTCTACGTTATACAGGTTTGATAAGTGCCTGACATTATTTAAACTTATTCACTTCCTTCCAAAAGAGATGCACATCTAAGCAGAAGTAGCGTAGACATACAAACTACATGTTTGAGCGTAAGGAAACTGATGACTTGCAAGCATTGGCTCTCAGCTGCACAAACGTAAATCTGAGATCTGCTTTCCTAAATTCCTGTTCATCGTTCTTATAACATTTTTGCTAAAGAGCTCAGTGAATGGTAGACAAAATAAGTATCTAACGAGGCATGACAGCAGCTCTGATGGGGCTAAATAGCAGAGATCTAAATTCTAATAAATAAGTGAAGTTGAACACTTCCTGCCAGCAACCATGTCAAGCTAGCCATAGGAAACTGTAGCGCTGCAGCTGGAGAAGGGCAAGATTCTGCAAGCCAGAGAAGGCAATGGAACTCATCCAGCATTGATTATTTATGGTGTGATGATGAAGGAACAACTTTCCATATGAGGAACAGCTTTAAAGTTGAACAGCGAAGTAGAAACAGAGCTTCAGAAAAAACAGAAGGGAACAAAAAACTACAGCTACAAAAACAATGACATATATTTCAATGATTTAAAAAAATAATTTATGTGCAAAACAGATGTTAAGCTTGTCCAACTTTGAAGTAAACAGCAAACTGTATTCATGACAACCACTTTGTTTAACGGCAAACACACTCTACTTAATGCTTCTTTTCTATGTTATCAAAATGAACACAAATTCAAAATCAAAGCACATTTAAAACTAAGAGTTTGTCTTTGCATTTTCTTACCCACTTCACTTCATCATAAAAACCTGAAATGAATAAAATGGTTCCACCTTTAAAAAGCATCTGATTTTAAGCATATGACAAGGACACCAAACAGCAGCTCAGAACCATGCTGATACCTGCCTTTAAACAGCTTTAAATGTTCTGTGACCCTTTATCTTGCCCTACCATGGGTAAAGGGGCTGCAGAGGGAATAAGGAGCTCATTCCTAATGAAGAACAAACTTCAAATTTTAATTTTCTTTTTTTTTTTTAAAGAATAAAATGAAAATTTGTGACTCTTCTTGTTGGAAAACAAAACTAACTGTTGAATGCATACGCCTGCGATTCCTCTTGCTGGGTTTGTTGCACCACCACTTTAATAAATACTTTTCCAAGGGGTTTTTCCAAGAACTGATCTGACATCACTCATGCTGATCCTGAACACAAGGAAGTAAACATCAGAGCTGTCTTAATTTCAGCTCCTTTAAACATACACTGAAGAACAGAGGATTGTGTTAGGCCAGTGGGTGATTAGGGGAGGTGAATCAATATCTGCTATAAATGAGAAACATGATCAGAACAGAAAAGCAGATATTTGTTTTTTTATTTGCAAGCATCTTGCTTGGTCTTAAGAGCAATGAGGAAAAACACTAAAACGAAAGTCCTACTTAAAATGAAATGCTAGAAGCATCTTAAATTATTAATTATTAAAACAAAGTATGTTTTATGCTAAGAGTGCAATTTTCTTTGATGCATTTTAACGACATAACTGGAGGAAGGATTGTGCTCACATTCAAGCATTTAGTTTCAAAGACATCACACTGAGCTGTTTGATTTCAAGTGTTAAGAAAAGCTAATTCAGGAAAGATTGCTTCTTAATGTGTGCACACTGTACTAAATTAAATATGCTCCCTGTTTGATAGGAAACACTCAACTTTAAAATAAGCTATTCCTTTCTAATATTCAGTACATTTTCCTTCACCTACTCAGTGAGAGTCAATGGCAGCACATTTTGTGTCAGTGTCTGAGGATATGAACATTGTTTTTCTATCTCTGGCCACTAAAGATGTACAAGCATAGGCCAGAGCAAAATATATATTTCAGAGGTAGTTTAGCATATAAACATAGTCTTCCTTTTGTTAAGCGTTAATGAAACAACTAAGATTTTGTATTTACATCAACAGAAATAAGGAGGAAAGCCATCAAAAGTTACAGGGATTTTCTCCCACCCCAAACACAAGTGTAGTATTTGTGAGAGTTTTTCTGTTTGTTTTCTATTTTAGTTGTTCCCAGTTTCATACTTAAACACCAGACTCCATTTAAAATAAGGAATGTCACTTAAAAGTTATTAGAGTTGTTGGCTGAAGCCGTGTTAGTCTAAGGACACAGGCAGACACGGTTCTTTGGGTTGATCTTTTATCTTTTATTAGACCAACTAAAAAGTTGGAAAAATTGTTCTTTGCAAGCTTTTGGACACAAACACCCTCCTTTAGGCACTGAAACTCTCCTGATGCTTAAAGAAGGCTGTTTGTGCCCAAAAGCTTACAAATAACAATTTTTTCAACTTTTTAATTGGTCTAATAAAAGATACCCAAAGAACCTTGTCTACTTAAAAGTTATCAAATTAATGTTATGATGTTACAAATAACATAGAGAAATCATGCAATAGCTTCTAGGGTCCTATTAGTAGCACCTGACATTTTTAGTCCACATCTGCTTAGGCAGTCACAACCATGGTAAAATCTCAAACTTTGTAGAGTTAGCAAAATAGGTCACATCTAGTGTAGATTTTTAGGGATGACTCTTCCATCACTGAACAGATGCACTTTGGCCAGAAGCAGAAACAAAAAGAGCACTGATGTAAAAAAGGGCATCAGCATTTTTATCATTCTGTCTTCTAACTGTGCCCTGCCCACAAGTTCTGGGCACTATTAGACAACACTTATCTAAATCACTTTTATTAGTGCTCCGAAGAAGCGTCAGGGTAGACAGTGTTTCAGTCAAGAATACATTTTAGACTGGCCACACTGGCTGGCCAAACATTTGGTTGCAACAGAGCTCCAGCATTCCATTTGCTTGCAGCAGTTTAAACTGGTTTTATACAAGCTTGATTGTGAGTGCAGAAGAAATCAAAGAAACAGCAATGTGAAGGTTGACCTTTGCAATCAGAGGTCATATTTTTCTTTAAGAATGCTACGTTCTGAAGAATTCTGCAGAAATCCATAAGAACCTGGATTTCTAAATAGTCCTTGCTTGTGGCTTTCTATTTTCCCTGTGTGGAACCACACCCCACCACTATAAGTGTAATAAAGCAACCATATATCCTTAAAATTCCTGTGTTTGAATAGTTGGATCAAACTCCCGACTGGAGATTTGCTGAAAAAGTGATTCATCCTGCCTGCTCTATGGTAGTGCAACTTAGTGCACCATCTATCTACAGTACTGCCTTATGCAGCATTATAAAATTGAGTCCCTGTAGTTTTCATAATACTTCTGCTTCACTCTAAAAAGGGATGTGCATGTGAGGGCTGCTAACCCTGGTGCTATAACCATTATTTATGTGGTTTACTGGATCATGGCACCCACGTACACTGGTGGAGGTAGGAAAGCCTGAATTATACAGTAACATCCATTTAAAAGCCTGGGAAAGATTTCCCTTGAACTTGTCAAGCACGCATGTATACAAGAAAGACACAGAGAGCTGTGCTAGCACTAGTGGTGGTTCCTTTCATGGAAGGTCCAAGGACCTGCTTCAAGTTCCTTGTTAATATTATGCAGTCTCAGGAGTCCATCTGCCTAAATGTAACCAAACCAGGTTGCTATTTTTAACATATTTTTTTTATGATGGAGTCATCAAGCTCTAAGGGTTCCATTGAACTTCTCTGCTTCACAGGTGACAAGTATATTTTCCTTCATCCCTAAACAAGCTAGCTGCAAAAAAATACATGACACTTTATTGGGGTAAAAAAAAAACAGACCTGCTATTTATCAAGATAAAATATAACACTTGCGAGACATGCAGGTAGGCAATGAACTTTCATGAAGTTAAAATGAAGAAAACAAGACTTAAAAGCCCTTTGTATATGAAATTTACATTATGGGATGTAAAGCCCCTAATAAATGAGCTGTCCTAGCATGCACATATGCAGAGAAGAGTATGTATACCTGCATACACACACCATAACTCTGGAAGCACTATATTGGGACTGAAATTACATTTTTGATCTGATTTTGTCATTCCGCCCAAGAACAGCATTTGCATGCCAGTGCTTCAGCCCACTGATTCATATCTGTGTATAGTCTAATATAAGTTTGGTGTAGCTCTTTTTTCTTCACAATTTCAACTTCTAGCATTTTGCCTCCTTGTTTCTGCTTGAAGTTCTGAATGCACGAACATCTCAGGCACTTACAGACATGCAGGGAGGCTGCTCCCACGTGCTATAAATCCAGCACGTGGGAGCAGACTCGATTAATTGAGTCTGCCGGAGCATGGAAATTAACACACTGAATTTAACGTGCAGTGTACCTGCACTGAAAAATGGCAGTGGGGTGCTTTGAACTAAAGCTTGTCGAACATGCTTTAGTTCAAAGTGTCCTGCTGCCATTTTTTTTTTGAGTGTGGGGACACTGATACACGTGACACTCAGGCACTTTTAATTATTGTGGCTTGCTAATTAAAGCGCCCCCCCACCAGCCCCACCTCCCGGAGCATGTCTATAAACGCCCTTAGTGCACTGGTATAAAACAGGTTTGTGTGTGCGTATCTGGAAAGATCAACAATACAAATACACAGTTTTCTATTTAGCAAAACAGATCGAAACCATATGTACAAACAGCATTATTGTTGACTGAAAAAAGTGACACTTTTTTGAGTCAGTTTTTGAGATACTGTGAATGAGACACAAATCATTCAGTAAACTTGGAGGTGAATACTTTTCTAGCTGAATGTTGTCAATGCTTCATTTTTCGGTATTAGAAAGTTCACTAACCCCCTGTTTGAAGAATGAATTAAAAATAGTCCAAAGAACAGAAGGGTCTTCACAATTATGGCAACTCTGCCAATGACCACAAAGGTCCTCTTTTCTTCCAAATACCTGCTTGCATAAAATGCAGTTATATCCTGCTTTAGACCAAATTTGAATTTTTTTAGTTTGTGGCGCAGAGCCAATATTTTGCAACTCCTTTGCTGGTTCACTGTTCCCTGACTGAATTACCTCATTTTTAGTTAGTATATCACCATTATTTTCATGATGAAGACAGATTTGCCTTCTCAATTTTGGAAAAGTATAGAACTCCTCATAAGGGGCACGTTTCACCAGATTTCGCCGCTCATTGTGCTGCTTCCAGAAATGAGTTGCATGTTTGATCAGTTCCTCCTGTGGTCCCATGCCTCCTTGTAGAATTCCATCCTTTATTCTTCCTTGGATCTCCTCTCCATGAGCACGCAGCAAATGAAACTTCATTTCAGCAAAGGACAGCGCAGTAAACTGGCATTGGCCACATTTGATCTGTACTTTAACTTCTCCTTGACTATGAAACAGATCTTCAAAATTGCATTTATTTTCCCTAAAACAGAAAAAGGATATGCAAACTACCTCAATACTAGCTATGTGCAGAACAAAAATGAAAATTTCCCTAATCTCTAAGTAGCAAGAACTTTTAGGAAATATTATACTGTTATAACCATGCATTATTGCAGCAGTTAATAAAACAGACAATTTACAAGCGCTGAGAAAAAGTAAAGTAGTAAAATGCTAGGCAAAGATAGCTAAAGCAATAAGCTAGCTGAAAGCAAATGATCTAAATTGGCATTGTCAAGTTAAAATTTGTTTCCAAAGTTAAGTTTTATAAAACTAAGCTTTGCCAGTCCTAAAACAAATAGAAATCTTTCACTGAAATGTTAAAAACAAAACACCCTCCCGTGCAGTGATTTCAACCCAAAAACTGCACCATAGTACTAGTAACATGGAAGTGACAATAATTAGCAGCTGAGTACTAAAAGGAATTGACTTGGGATAAATTCCAATTATAAAAACAACCCCACAATCACCACTAGTATTAATAAAAAGTAAAACAGAACTTCAAACAGGAAAAACTTCAAACAGCCTGTGATAGTTTTATAGGTAAAAGTATTTTAAATATATGATGTACTACCCAATATTGTTGCTTTGATTTCTTTATATAATAGGATAACAAACAAACACTATAAAGGAAATATGAACTAAATGTGACATCTCTAACTTTAATAAGGCATTTATTCAAAGAGCTTCATGGAGCTCCATTGAGAGAAAGAGTTATAAATTAGAAAGGACTAGTATATAGTGATATGAAACAAGCTAAATTACCCAACAAACAAATGAATTATAAATGATTCATCATAAAATGGATAGCAAGGTTGAAAGAGGTGCTGCAATGCTTAGTTGAGTCCAGTACTATTAATTTTTTAATTAATGTCTCAGAGGATGGAATAGAGAATTCAAACTCACAGTAACAGAAAGCACAGTGGGATAAAATTAAAATTCAGCACAGAATTAAGGCACAGGAGAAACACACTGAACTTAATTAAGTACCATATTTTCTCACAAGGAACACGCAGCTTTTTTCCAAAATCACCCCCACAAAACTGGGGTGTGTGTTTTAAACAGGGAAGTGCTTTGCTTTGCTGTAAAAGGAGCACTTCTTGGCGCTGTGTATGCCATGCAACTGCCAAGGTGACTGCTGTTTGCGTCTGCTCAGCAAACTGAAGAGGCAGAATCCTGTTTTAAACCTCTCGCAGCCACAACCATTGGCTGAGCACTGCAGTTTGTATCTGAAGCAACAAGTGAGCTGCTGATAAAATCTTGATGAGGCTTGTGATGTGAAAAAAACACTTTATTTACAGGAACTTATATAAAGAACTTACAGGAAAAAAGCAATGGCCTTGCTATCATCCTTTGCAAGGGTCTGGGGCTTTTGTATGACAGAATAAGCCCTCCTGGAAACATAGGCCGGATCCAAAAGTGCAGGCACATGTGCTTTGTGGTGCCACAAACCTCTGTCACCACAAAACACATATGTTGCATGTTAAACTGTAACCTGCGCTGCTAATTTGCAGTGCTGGGACAATATTTGCTACCAGGATTTCTCAGTAACAATAATAAAAAAAACAAACCCAAAAGAAGTGGTGCAAAGCACACCAAACTGCCATATGCTGGGGCAAAAGGGGAGACAGGGGAGCAGGCAGCCAAGCAGGAGAAGGAGCAGGGGGATGGAGAGAGCGGGAGGCTGGAGATAAGCCCCTGTAGATAAGCTGGAGACTTACCCTGCTCTCTTCAGCCTCTTGCTTGTTCTCTGCTACTGCCGGGGAATGTAGGGGAGCTGGGACAGCAAGCAGGGAGCTGGGGGAATGAATGGAGAGTGGGGGGGAACGAACGGGGGGCAGGGGGAATGAACGGAGGGTAGGGGAACAAACAGGATGGGGGGAATGAACGGGGAGCTGGGGGAATGAGCCTCCTGCTTGTTCTCCTATTTTCTCCAGCCTCCTGCTCATCTCCAGCCTCCAGAGGCTAGAAAAGAGCAGGGCAATGAGCGGGGGGCTGGACACCAGCACGGGGTCTGGGGGGGAGCTGCAGCTTCTGGGGGGGCCTGGAACCCTGTGCTGTGTCAATGTGCTGTGGGGGGGGCTCTGCCATGTCAGGGGCAAGGGACCATTGGCAATGTGTAAGGGGTGCACACGGGTGCATGTGCACCCCCAGAGCGTGGCGGTGTACCCCCTCAGAAAAAGTGCCTGTGAGAGGTTGTCACTTGCCCCCCCCTCCCCAGTCAGTGGCATCTGTGGGCAGTCAGTGATCACTGCTAGCCACCACTGTGACTGCCGGCAGTGTCCGTGGGGGCTCGCCACCCCTCCCCCTGCTGCCAACAGCGACAGCGGTGTCTGCGGGAGCTCCCCGCTTACTGCCGCCACCATGCTCCCAGCAGCACTGCCATGCCCCGCCAGCCACCGGGGGCAAGCGGCATTTATGCAAGGGACCCACCCCTTCTAAGCAGCCCCCACACCTACCCTCACACTGACTCACACCCCCCAACCCCTCCTGCAAACCCCACATCCCCACATCACACACCCACCATGTGATAAGGAAATCAAAAGTAAACATTAAAACATATAGATATTTAGGATTTATTTTATTATGATGCTAGAGACACTGGTAGACTTCCAAATTTCTTAAACATTGTAAATATAGCAATAAAACATTGCCCATCAGATCAATCCCCCTTTCTCTCTCTCTTTTATTCTAATTGTGGAAGAATGTGGATTTTGGGGTATTTTAAAAAGTGAATTTGGGATGCTGCTTCAACAGTCTAGCTGATCCAAGGGGCTAGAATTTGGGATGCTGCTTCAGCAGTATAGCTGACACAAGGGGCTAGTGTCCCCAGATACCAAGTGGCTGGGCCTCAGAAGCTCCAGACAGCAAATAGCCCTGACCTCCTGGCCAGGGCAGGTTTTTATACTGCTGGGGCCAACACAGGTGCTGGCCCTGGGCTTTAGTTCCCCCTGGCTGCAGATCCGGGAGGAGCCAGGTTATTTTGCCCCAGGTGGCACAATTTGCTCCACAACAAAGTGCATGTCCAAGCAAAAAGCCCCGGCTCAAATTTGCACCACTTCTATTTGAGCTGCTGCAAGCACACGTGCTTGCGTGTGTGGATGCACCCTCTGTGTTTCCAGGAGGACTTATTCTATGTCACACAGTCAGCAAGGACTCTGGAAAAAAAAATTTCTACATTCTGCCTTTCAAAAACAAGATGGGTGTTTTATTTGGGGTGTGTTCTATATGAACAAATACAGCATATTTCAATAAAACAAAGTCAGTCTGGTGCAAACCAGAAAGGCAGTATTTATCGTATGTCAAGAGAGTTTAAAGCAAGACTATACAGCAG